CCGCAGCGGCCGGCATGAAGAAGCTGAGCGAGGTGTCCACGATCCGGTGTTTCGTGTTCGTGTCCAGCAGACCCGGACTCAAGCTGTCGGTAATCCCGAAACATATCGACATCGAGATTTTCAGGACGGCGAGAAACACGACGGCGGCAAACACCGGAACCGGTACTATCATCGACAACATGACGTGGAGGCGTGTGCAGAAAAATGGGGGTTGAGAAAGTAACGGTACGGTTCTTGGCGAGTAAATGATGACGGTGGCGTCACCTTCGTTTTATTTATCGGCGTTTGCGAAGTGCCCATGACGTAGCATTTTTGTGTACGACGAAACTTCCCGCTTCGTAGTCGAGAATGTGGCAGGAGAACGAACGCGGAACGATGGTGACGATGAGGTCGGCCGTGACCGATTCGAGCGAGAGGCTTCATCGACTTATACACATCTAGATGTGTATAAGAGACAGGGTCTGGTCAGCGAACGTCGACGCTGGTGGGTGGAAATGCGATCCGACGGACTCACGATCCAATACGATAAAGCGACCAGGTCGTTGTCGACGGTCTCTCCGTCGGGTAAGACCTTGCTGTGGTATCTTCCCGACGAAATTCTCCGATTCGCCGTTCGATGCCGAAGTGGGATCGCCAGCTTTCGAATCCCTATCGATTCGAGCGGTTCGACGGTGCATTCTTTAAAGGCTCTCTGCAGATGGACCATAATCTCGTTCAATCTGGACGTGACCCTTTTACCCAACACTCTGAAAACGTACGTTCTGAACAGTAAAGATGACGTAGCATTTCAGTACTCCATGGCGTAGGTGCCATTACCGAAGACAAGACCTTTTAGGATACATGTCATATTCAGCGAGTCATACATTATTTGTTTAATAAAATATTGTTAAACGAACATACGGTTTCCATTATATATTTTTTTAATTATGTGTGTGTGTATTTTAACAAAAATGAATCAGTGCGAGAGATAAATCAAGAGATGTAAAACTAATTTTTGTTTGTTCTCTTTGGTTCACTTTATTTTACATCGCAAACGCACACTATTTTGCCGGTGTCAGGTTAGTACACGGCACCGTCTAAGCCGCAGCGTAACCAGCATTCGTCCGTCAAGGGAACCGCCTCGGGGAACCCGTTGAGAGCGGGAACGCAAGATCCGACGTCGCTGCCGACGGGAAAGTAGCAGTGCGATCCGAAGAGTCCGCACCCCTCGAAGTCGGGAGCGAGGTACCATCGGTCTTTGTTGCCTTTGAAATTTTTCTTCGGCCGGCGGACGCTGCACAGGTTCAGCGAGATGCTTCTCTCGCAGCTCTCGCAACATCTCACGTATCGGGTCCCGTCCTCCGCGATTTACAAGCACGCGCGATTCCAGTTCGGGAGAATGCACGCTTCCTGTTAGAGAAACGGAGTGGCACCTTGGACGTAAACCGAACTGATCACCAGGTCGGAATCCACCTTAAAATGCGCGACCGCGAAGGAGTAGAAAGGCGAAGAGAACAACAGCAATAACAGAAGCCGAAACAGCAAAACGCCTACCGTCCGTTCGATCGGGCTTTGCTTCGATGCTACGTTCCGTGCTCGGCGTGGATGCGTCGCCAATACGTCTATCGCCTTGCCAACCACCAATCGCAGTTTGTCCTGAAGAGAAGGGGCAGAATGACGCAAGGATTCCACATCCGGTTCGGGTCGCCGCCGACGTTTTGCTCAAGGGCGTCCTCGAATTGTTCCGAAACACCGTTCTCGACGGATCGTTCGACGACTTCGGGAGGAGGGACTTCTCCGTACAAATCTTGATCGACTTCATTCAAATCGGTCGCAAACATCGAAAACCACAAGTTGTGGCGCGCGTGCAGACCTCCGACGACACGAGGCCACTCGTCTTCGAAGTCGTAGAGCACCTGGTTTTTCATCCAACTTTGTTCGTTCCTATAGTTTCGCCATCTTCCGTCTTCGCATTTCCAGATTGAGATATCGCTGACGACGGCGATCGAGTTCGTTTTGTCGCTCGAGACGATGGAACAATCTTCGACCACGAAATCGACCGGAGCCTCGTTTATGACGAAGGTGCTTCTTACCTTACGCGGGATTCGGCCACGGGGAATCTCGTTCAGAGCTCTCTCACACACTGTCACCCGCACCAACGAATTCTTGTTCCCGACGGCGGCGCCGAGCACCTTACCGAACATCAGAACCTCCAGATTGTTGTTGGGAGTTCGACGTTTGCACGCCTTGCACCAGAACCAACGGTGGACGCAATCGAACCTCGTCCAGAAATCTCTCTCCATGTCGTACACGTAACCGTATTTCTCTGCTTGGCTTCGTTCCATCT